GAGTGAGATTCCAGATTCTCCTCATCTCAAACAAAGGTTTAGAGGAAATAAGCACAATGCAGTGGTTTATTCAGAAAGTTTATTAAAAAAAGCAACAGTGAAGAGTGGGGGAGCAAGTGACTGTAGAGCAAGCGTGGGCTGAATAAAGAGAAAAAGAGGGTAAAAGCAGAAATAAAGGAGGGGCTGGGGATTTAGCTCAGTGGTTCTGCTGCTTGCCTCGCAGAGCAAGGACCCGGGTTGATCCCTGGTAGATCACAAAAGATAAAGGTACAAGCCGTGTGTGGGAAGTGACAGTGTGGGGCTATGGTGGAAAGCAAAGTCTTCATGGCAGCGATGTACGTTTTATGCTGTCTGAATACTGAGGAAACCCAAGAGAACTTCTGCATCCGGGTCAGGTCTAGGCTATTCTACTGAAAACCTGCAGAACTTTGGGAACTTTCCTGCGCATGTGCCTGGGCTCTCCTAGTTATACTTCCGCAGCCAACTTCCGTCACCCCTAGTCTCCTATCTCCGTAGTGTGGTCCTTTCAGCGATATTAGTTCTTCTAATACATAAATGCTACTTACTTTCTTTCATTTGTGTCCTCTGCAATTACTTTCATTAGTGCTCTGTAGTTTTCAGAGTAGAGATCTTTCACTTCCTTGGTTAAATTTATTCCCAGGGCCTCAGTTTTTGCTATTGTGAGTGGAATTGTTTTCATCATTTCTTTTTCAGGTATTTTACTGTTAACATATAGAAACACTGCTAAAAAAAACATGATTTTTAAATGTTGATTTTTGTCTCCTACAGTCTCATTGAATTAATTTATTTGTTTTAATAGTTTCTGTGGAGTCGTTAGGTTTTTCTGTGTAGAAGATTATGTCATCTGCAGAAGGGAAAGTTTGACATCCCCCTTTCCAGTTTTTATGCCCTTTATTTTTTACCCTTGCCTAATTATTCAGGCAAAGGCTTCCTGAACTATGTTAAATAAGGGAGCTGAAAGTGGGCCTCTTTATCTTGTTTCCAATTTTAGAGGAAATGATTTCAGCTTTTTCCATTCTATACGATACAGACTTTCAGCTTGTCAGATTTTCCATTTTTTGTTTGTTGTGATCTTACTGTGTTGGCCTATTTGTTTGTTTTTTGAGACAGGGTCTTGCTATGTAGTTTAGGATGGCCTTGAACTTACTGTGTAGTTCAGGCTGGCCTTGAACTTGAGGCAATCCCGCCTCAGCCTCCTGAACACTGGGATTATAGGCATATGCCACCATGCCTAGCCTAAGTGGTTATTTTTGTTGTTGTTGTTGTTGTTGTTGTTGTTTTGGTACCACAAATCGAACTTGGGACCTTGCACTTATGAGGCTGGCAGTGGAACCACTGAACTAAATCCCCAGCTCTCTCTGTGGGTATCTTTTATATCTACTCTTTTGAGAACTTTTACATGAAGGGATGTTAAATTTTGCCAAATGCATTTTCTGCACCTACTGAAACCATCATGTAATTTTGGTCCTTCATTAAGGTAGTACAGTAGATCATCTTCGCTGATGTGTGTGTGTCACACACCTCTTATTCCTGGGATGAATCCTACCTGATCAGAGTGAATGATTTTTTTTTTTTTTTTTTGTACCGGGGATCAAACTCGGGCCCTTGTGCTTGCAAGTCAGGCGGCAGAACCACTGAGCCAAATCCCCGGCCTTGTGAATGACTTTTTTTGAGACAGGGTCTCACTATGTAGTTCAGTCTGGCTTTGAACTCACTGTGTAGCCCAGGCTGGCCTTGAACGCGTGGCGATCCTCCTGCTCCAGCATCCTGAGTGCTGAATGATGTGCCACTGTGCCCAGCCATCTTTTGAATGTGATGTTGAATTGGTTTGCTAGAATTTTTTTCAGAACTTTTGCATCGTTGTTGATGAGGCCTACCTGCCTTCCAACTTCCCTCATTTATCTTTGTCTGGCTTCCCTAACAGGGTGATACTGACCTTATATGATCTTATATGATGAATTTGAAAGATTTCCCTCTTATTCAATTTCATGGACTATATATATATATACTTTTTTTTGTACTGGGGATTGAACTTGGGACCTTGCACTTGCAAGGCAGGCAGTGGAATCATGGAATAGTTGTAAAAGAATTAGTATTAATTTTTGTTTAATATTTGGCAAAATTTAGCAGTGAAGCAGGTAGTCTTTGGCTTTTGTTTGATGGGAAACCATTAGTGATTCAAGCTGGCTTGTTACTGGTTTGTTGTCCTGATTTTCCTTGTTTTTGCAGTGATAGGGATTGAATCCGTGGCCTTTGTGCTGAGATACATCTCCTGCTATATTTTACTTTTTTATTTTGAGACAAAGGTCTTGCTAAATCACTAAGTACTTTTTTATTTTGAGACAAAGGTCTTGCTAAATCACTAAGTTGCCAGATTAGATTTGAACTTATGATCTTCCTGTCTTAGCCTCCTAGAGAGCTGGGATTACAGGTTTGCACTACTGCATTTG